CCCGCAGCGCTGCGCCACTGCAGCCTGTGGTGCTGCTGCTCCTTGTTCCTGCTGCTCCTCCTCCTCTGGGATATTGTGTAAAACTCACTTGTATCCTTGCAGGGGGGTTGACTGATTAAACACAGCATCGCATCTCCCAGCTGATGTTGTAGCAGGGGGTGAGTGCAAACCTGCCTGGCCTCATGCATTGCAGCTGCTCTGGGCTGTTCCTGAACTCCTTGCTAAATGCAGACTTCCTGCTCAAGCAGCATCTCATCATCTTCCAGCAGCTCTGGTACTCACAGCTCTTACTTGATAAGTGCCACATTTGCAAAGATTTTATTATTTCTGCTCTATCCAGGGCAAATCACACTCGAGCTGAGCTGTCCTGACCTACAAATCCATGTCCTGGAGCAGCTTTCTGTTTCAGTGGGAACTTAGGGTGATCTCTAAGGCTTTTTTTTTCCCTGACTTGGCCACCAGTTAGCTTCCCCAGTAAGACAGGGGGTGTTTTAATATAGCATCCTTGCACAAAGGTACCAGGTAGAAACCACAGCCCCAGTGTCATCTGTCAGTCAGAACTGGAAGAATGTTTTCCTAGAGACTCATCTATTTCTGAATCCTGGCTTGTCTCAGATATGGAGACTAATTTCCTAGGAATCATTCTTATGAACATTCAGTAATTATGAATTTCCAGCAGAGAGGGCCTTGGTGTGAGGATGCTATTTAGGATCAATAAAAAATAAAATAAAAGTGTGTTGACTTCCAGGTGGGGGATCCAGTTCTCATTCTGTTCTCAGCCCTTGCAGATATTCATTACAGAATTTAAGCAAAAACACCAGTAAATCCTTGCCCACTGGGTTGTTGCTCTGCAAGTTTATTTTCCTTGATACTCTACAGGGAATCAGTCACCCTTGGAGTTTGTTTTTCCTCACAATTTGGAGGCAGAAGGATGGGCTGAGGCAAAGCTTGAAACTCCCTGACCCGATGCTCCAAGTTCAGCCCCAGGAGCTACAAGTCAGCCATGCTCTACAGAGCTTGGTGACTCTGCAGAAGTCCAGGTCAAGTGAGAGAGGACTTTTTGTCATTATTACCTTCAATCATGACAGGAATAGTTAGGTATCTAGTAATGGGATCATAAATTTCCTGGTTCTCTGAAGTTTAAGGTATCTCTGTCCTGGTATCCTTTTAAAAAGGCTTGTCCTGTATAACAAAGCTTCAGGAATTAGCTCCCTGTCCTGGATAGACAAGCTGACTTGGTTCAGATCACTCAACCCCAGCCTATGTTTGCCTTGTAGGAAAGTAAGGAGATATTTACAAGCCCCAGCTCTGGCTTCATTTGTTCAGTTTTCTTCACTTGGGTGCCTGTTGCCTTCTGCTCACAGAGGAGAGAGCGGCTCAGAGAGGATCCAATGCCTTTTGTCACCAAATTCAGGTTTCACTGCAGATTTGTCTCTTCTCGTGGCCAAGCCATTTTACCCTGTGCCCTCCCAACATGCACAGGAGAGCTGAGTCCCCCCTGAGCTCGGGGCGCCCCTGGATCTGTGCTGACAGCTTCAGAAAAGGATGGATTTCCCAAGATGCCATATCCAGCAGCCAGGGACAGCTCAGTGGAGCCTTGGCAGCAGAGATGCTGCAGCTGGGTGCTGGTCTGAGTGACCATGTTATGCTGGTATTGTTTGGAGCAAGAATATGAAATACTCTACAGAAAACAGAGGAACAGGGTTACTTTTGGCTTGGGGCCATCAGCTTCTCAGGGCTGGCAATACACTGAGAGGGCGCTTGGCTGAAGCCTCTGATGCTTTCTAGAGACACAGTGCTCCTTCCTTTGTGCCAGTGCTGATTTTGGATGGAAAGTAGAAGGGAAGATGCTGTAGAGAAGGGACTCAAGTGAACCTTGTCCTCCTCCATAAACCTCACTCTCTGGGAAGGCCCTTCTGCCTCCTCCCTGTCGTTCTCCTTTATGCCATTTCACAAATGCCATGGTATTTTAAATCTCAAACGCTCTCTGCTTCATTAAGCAGCACACACTCCTTGTTCTTGTCTTTTAATGCTTTTTAGGGTTTTCTCCAGGACTTTTTGACATTTTTCTAGGATGAAGACTGTTCCTTTAGTCATCTTCGGCTAAAGACGCCTTCAAGAAGAAAGTTGAAATGACCTGGGGAAAATTCCAAACAGCACGGAAGAGGAAAACAAGTTTCCCAGCCCTTAGCATGAGGGAGATGCCTCACTTATATTAGCTCCATATTATGTCTAATATCTACTTCTGTGAAGCACCTATCTGCTGGTGTGTGTACATATATTTACACACAGACAGATATATTCCATTGTATACACTTATTTGTGTAATCACATTATAAACAGCACGTGCATTCTGCGAGTGCCTATACCTATAATCAGTATTATACATATATATATATATATATATCTACTCAAAGTTTGAATAAATACATTATATTCCATATTTTGAAGGAGAGATATTCTTGTGGTTTTTATTAAATGTAAGGCTCTGCAACCATAAAATAAAGCCAACTCTTCACAAATCAGGATGGCCCACATCAGTGTTTCTTTGTCCATGGGATAATGTGATCATTTCCTTTTCTGTGGTGTTTTCACCCGTGGCTGGAAAAGTGATGCTTTAAACAAGGGTCCAACTTCTCAGAGCGGGGATTTTTGCCCTGGAGGGAATTGGGAGAATAAGAAAAAAGGAGTATTTAACTGGATTTCAAAAATACACAGCCTTGGGACGAATGGCACATTCTGATATAAATAGAATTTACTCTGTGTTTTGCACCCAGGAATTGTTAAATTCAGCTTTCCCAGCAATGAAATGCACATCAGAATAAATCCTATCAAGAAGGAATACTTCAGCCCATTTTTTTCACATTGGCAGCACTCAAGCAGGATGAGATCTCATTTATGTCACCCAGAACACTGGGTCTTTCCTCTTGAATCCACGTGGAGATGCGTGGCAGTCAGCAGGGACTTGTTCATCTCCATGGGCTTACTCAGAGGCCATCAAGCAAAGCCCCTGCAGCCTGAAGAAGGACATCAGTTTGGGAAGAGACAGGATTGCCCAGACCCTTTTGCTCAGCTGGAGAGGCATCCATCCTTCCTCTAAATCTCCACGTGGGAAAGCTTGAGCTCTCAGTACCCGGGAAATGGCAAACAGTTGTGCTGTGCAGTTTTACTGTTCAATTGAGGAAATGCCCTTTTTAGCTCTCATCAGTCTTAGACTGACGTGGCCACGTTTCATCTGCTTTTCCCCATCACTCACTAATGGTTGTGCTGAACTCTGTGCCAAAGGCCAGGTTTGCACAGCTCATCCTTAGAGACGCTTTGGGGAGAAACAAGCCAGAAAGCAGCTTCAGTCCAGTGCAAGCCCAGCAAGCCTTGTATGTGGGAACTGCTGAGCTTGTGAGATTGGAAAAATAGCTCTACCTCAAAGCCTGGAGGCTGCTGGAGAAGTAGAGCTGTTCTGCTGGGCGATTTTGCTGTGGGGTGAGCTGAGCTTGGTGCCCAAAACCTTTTCTCCCTCCTGGTGCTGGTGCTGGAGCCGAGCCCTGGGCAGGGCAGAGCCTGTAGCACCTCATGCTTTGCACCTTCTGGATGGTGCCAAAGGTTGGGGAACTGATGGGAGAGTTTAGCCTGGAGGTGTTTTGTGGAAATGAGAAAAAAAACCAGCAGTGAAATGTCCTGTTGAGACACATCTGGTATTGGTGTGAGAAAGGGAGGGAAGGAGGGAGGGGAAAACATAGACTGTGTGCCCCAGTGCTGCCCAGGGCACGAGGCTGGGCTTGGGGCAGAGCCAGCTTTGGAAAACCCAGGTATCGCAAGAAAATTGGCTTTAACTTGCAGATCTCTGCCTCTCAAGCAAGACTGATGGGGCAGGATGGGGTCAGGCAGCTTTCTGGGGATCTGGAGAGGGAATAGTCTGACCCACGCTGCAGCACATCCCGAGAATAAGGGCAGGGTTTTGGGGCATGTTCCTGGTGGACTTTGAATCAGCAGCAGGGACATCTTCTCAGCTAACCCCCTGTGTGCCCCTCAGGCCAGGTAAGTGCCTGCCTCCCAAAACAAGCCAGCCCCAGCTGTGCAGGGATCTCAGGCTGCTCAGCTGTTTGGGGCTGTTGATGAAGATGCTCTGGTTCTCTCCTGAGTCCCCAGCACAGTCACAAATCTCCCTCCTAAAGCTGATGGGGAGAGGAAGCTCCCTGCATGCCAGTGCAGGTACCTAGAACACTTTTAAGACGGATGTCTCCAACTCCATCGCTTCTGGTTCCTTCCTGCCAGGGGCATTAATCACTCTGAAAGGTCTGTGCCTCAGGGTGGAGGGCAAAAAATTGGAATTTGAGAACGTATTGCCAAAGTCGCTGCATTCCTGCCCTGACCCGGCCAGACTGAGCATCATATTGCAACCAAGGTGTAAAAGTAGTTTCTGCTTGCTGATCTTAGCAGAGGGAGCCCTTGCAAACTCCTGCACCTCCCTGAAGAAATTCAAAAAGCTGTTAAACCAGATTCTGGTCTGCTCAGATTTTTCTCAGTCTCAGCTGGCACATTCTTTGGAGCAGTGACCGCAGGGAAAGGCTGCTGGGGAATTTCTCATCACACAGACTGAAAAAGCACTTGCAACCCACTGTCTTTCTCTCTTTGTTTCAGTCCCAGCCATGCCATCCCTCTTTATTAAAGTCATTAACAGCACCACCGTGCAGGCAACGTGGGAGCCCTCCATCAAACTCGGCCAGCATGAAGGCTTCAAGCTGTATTACCGCAAAGTCCACCTCTCCCAGTACACAGGTCCAGTGCTCCTGGCCAGCAACATCACAGCCTACAACATTACCCACCTGGGTGAGTACGGTGACACCTTGATCCATGTCCCCTCCCCACCCTGTCGTGATTTGCAGGAGAGAGCTCCTCCAAGTGTGTATCCCAATCCCTAAATGCTGCAGCTGTGCCCCAGGTTTTGTGGGTGCATTCCCAGCAACAGGTACTTGTTCACAGCATCTTGTGTGTATTTGGTAAGATGTTCTTTTCCCAGATAAGCATCACTGGGGGAGATAAGGCTCATGGTTGAACTGTCCCTCTTGTGTCCCCCTGGGCAGATGCATCGGTGGTGTACGAAGTCAAGCTCCTCGCCTACAACCAGCACGGGGACGGGAACTCCACTGTCCGCTTCGTGTCCCTGAGGGAAACTGTGGAGAGGACAGGTGAGATGGGACCTGGTTTGGGAGAAGCTCTGCAGGAAGGTGGTAAGGCCAAACTCATCCTGCGTGCCCCCTGTGGCATTACCCTCATCTCACCTTCAGCCACTCATTTATTTTCAGCATCACAGATAATGTTGAGGCAAAACTCTGCAGAGCTAAGAGTACCTGGATGGCTTTTTTACCAAAAGAGGGAAGACAAACCAAATGCTTTGCTTATGCCAGGTTTGTCCCCTAAGCTTGAGACAGAGGTGAGGCTATGAACACGAACAACCCCCAGTGCATAAGGTACCAGCTGCCATCCTCAGGTGAGATATGGTGCACTGAGCATCTCTGCTCTCCTGGAGCTCTCCTGGATATTTTGTCCCTCACTGGTCAAAAGGAAGGACACGTGGCTTTGGAAAGGGAAATGGCTGCAGTGTGTGAGCTCTGTATTATGTGGCAGCAAAGGAGAAACCTCTAGAGGGAATCTCTTAACTGATCACACCTTTCATATTCATCTATGTGTAAAAAACATCCTGCTGCTCTTGGAAGACTTTTAAGCCTCCAGTGGGAATATCTTCAAGAGATAGTTATTACTCTTCTGTCTGTGCTGGAGTAAATACTAATCTCACTGGCATCTGTCTATTCCATCAGGTTTCAACCTGCTCTGGTGTGGTGCCTGCCTCTTACCTCCCACTTTAGCATGGGGTATTGCAAAAATTAACATCACATTGGGTATTTTCCATTAACTGTGTCAGTTCATGGGGATGGTTCACTACAGATATTCCAGTCCTGTGCTTGCTGTGTGTCCCTTCCTGCAGTGCTGGGAGCAAGGGAGGTGCATAAGCAGGCAGTGAACCACTGCTTCCCACGTGGTTCTCCTCTTCCCACACACAGCTCCCAGCACTGCCCAAGGCTCTGACTTTGGCTCTGGGCTCCCCAAAAGCTGGAGGAGCAATAGAAGAGCAGCACCACTGACATATCCACCTTTTCCTGGCAGTGCTGAATCCTCCCTGTGACTGCATGAAGGACGAGCAGAACAATAAAACCTCCACAACCGGCATCATCATCGGGATCCACATCGGCATCACGTGCATCATATTCTGCATCCTCTTCCTTATGTTTGGGTACCGAGGAAGGTAGGGATGCTCGTGCCACTGCTCACATGGGGTGGTGGCCCCTGGGACTGTGAGTGTGCCCACCTAAGTCTTACATCCCTGAGTGCAATGCTGGACTTTATAGGAGGGATTGAAGGATGAAGAAATGTAGCACAGGGAGAAGGCAGATGCCAGCCTGGGGGAGGGAGCAGAGGATGAACTACCTCTCTCACTCTCAGGCTCCACCTCTTTTTTTTTTCAGGCTGCTGATGTGCAAAAATGTGCAGGAGCAGCTGTCAACCCCTCAGATCCCCCGGAGCCAGCGGAGTGCCACGGGCCTTGTCCTGAACGGGGCCACTCGGAGAGACAGGGATGACCGGGACCTGAACGGAAAGCAGCTGGATATGAATGAGCTGGAGAGGTTATTCCCAGCATCCCCATCCCAGGAGCAGCAGGAGAAGGGAATAACGGTAAGTCCAGCAGCATGGGAGCACACCTGGCTGTGCATTGGAGAGCTGTCACTGTCACTGTCACTGCATTGTCCCCTTCTCTCTCTCCCCAGTCGGCTCACAGCCTGTCAGCCCCCCATGATGAAACCCAGATCTCCACACTCCCTCTGGATGAGTTCAGCATCATTGAGGAGCAGCCAGACCCCCTCCCACAAAACCCCCATGCCAGCAGTCCTGCTGCTCCAGCTCCCAACCACGGCTCTGCCAATGAAGGATAAAACTGCCAAGACTCAAAGCCTCTTGTAGGAGTTACCAGAAACCAAACCCACGGCTGGTGATGTCTTTACGAGTTGTCAATCTCAGGTCAATTGAAGATTTCTACGGTCTGATTGTTATTTTTTTGTTTTGCTTTATTTTTATATATATATATAAATATATATATATATATATATGTATACAGCCTTTTGGAAACTCTTGAAGTTTATCTTTCTGACCTCTCTTGAGCCTCTCAATGTGTTTCTTCCGATGATGGCTGTCTGGAGACTGGTCACGATGGATTTTCCCCACAGCTGCTATGTAACAGACTCCTTGGCAGAGTTTGGCAAACTCTTCAGTCTCTGACAGACTGGGGATACAGTGGAGCCCCCATCTCTTGGCATCCCAGACTTTTTCCTGATCAGCAGCTTTAGGACTACTTTTTGGATCTATTTTTTATTTCCAGAAGACTGGATTTGGAAAAATCCTTCTAACTTGACTCCAAAAATTGAGCCTAGGAAGGCTGTCTCTCCGTGGATTTGATGATTTTGTACACTTTTGCTATTTCTCAGGATACTTTTTTTGCTGATTGACTCTAAATAATATGAAAAAAAAGGAAAAAAAAAAAAAAAAAGAGTGTGTGTGTGTCAAAGGATGCCTGAGGGCTACTGAAAGACTTGGACAGACAACCCGAGTGAACTCAGAACCTACCTCAACCGGAATGAATGTCTTCTGGGAAGCAGAAATACCTTCGTCTTCCTTCGTGTTCAAACAAACAAGTAGCATAGCACTTGGTCAGTACAAGCATGGTCCTACCTCAGCAGTCACGCTCTGTACCCGCCACCTTGGTGGCTTCCTTGTTGTCGTTCCCATGTAAAGCACTTCCAAACCTTTGAAAGCAATGTTCTACCTCAAGTGTGAGAGAAACTCATGTGTGCATGTGTGTGTGTGTGTGTGTGTCCTCCCCTCTCCCTCAATTCCTGCCTCTCCCACCCAGCCCCACATGAAGCACGATGCTTCACTGGTGTTATGAGCTTTACTTTTGGGGGCTCCAGTGTGATTTTGTGTGGCGGAGATTTGTGTTGTGGTTTTTTTACTTTAAAGATTGTTGGGGCTGTCACAGATGAGCAGCATGATGCCCTGTGGCTCCCTGGCACCGCTGCCTTCCAGGGCTGATTTGGGCACTGGTCCATCCTGTGTTTGAGGGGATGGGGTACGCAGATTCCAGTGCTGGGGCTAGAGCACCCTTGTGCTGCATCAGTGTGCTGCTCCCCAAGGCTGATTCCCAGCAGGAGGATCTACAGCACGTGCTGGCACAAGCAGCACAGAACACCCTTGGGAGGTGGGAACCTGGACATCACAGTCTTGTCCCAAAGCCCACCCTGCTATCAGGAGCACCCGTGGGGAAACCCCAATAGAGCACTTCCCCAATAGAGCACTTGAGATGCTACCGAGCTGCCCCCAGCTCCTCCAGCGCCATTCCAGCCACAGAACATCCAAAGGATGAGTGGAGCCAAAAAAGGCTCAGTTCCTTGGGAGGGACAAGGCAAGGAGGATGCTGGGGGCTGCCAGAGCTGCCCCTTCCCCATGCCCAGGGTGGGCAGAGGAGCTCCTGACACCAAAGAGAGGGTTTGTCCCCTCCAGAGATCAACCACCAACCTGACACTGTGGAGGTTGGGTTGTCCTGGCACGGTGCAGCCTTGTGAGTCAGTGTGTGACCGGCATCGCCCATGGGTGACATGGGGGCACACATGGGGGACAGGGACACCAGGTGCCAGCTGGTGCCAGAGGGCAGCCCTTTCTCTGCTGTGTGAAGTGGTTAAATCCAGGCAAATGCAAAGGTTTGATCTCTTTGTGTAGGTGGTGGTAAATCAAACGTTGCTGTATTCGCAAGGACAGTGAACAGAATCAGGAAAGGAAATTAGTTTAAGGTTTTTAAAAGTATGAATTGTATTTTTTTAAATGGTACCAGTGGGAGAGTCCCTTGTGTCAAAAACACCCCCATCACCTGCCCAGCTGGCAATGGGGTGCAACCAATGGCTGTGTAAATAGTACAATACACAGGAGGCTGAGCAAATGCCTCTTCCCTGAGCTGAGTCCTGGTGCTGGGCAGGGTTACCTGGGAGCAGGACTCTGTGCTCATCCAGCTTGGCCCAAGAAGATGTAATGGCACCAACCTCAAGAGCAAGGAGCTGTTCAGGCTCGGTGTTCCTAGCCCTCTTCCATTAAAATTCGTCCTCCTGTAGACATCATGCAGAACAGAAAAGATGCAAAGGGTTACATTTTGGCATTAACACCCCCAAACAGCCTTTCCCCACCCCACCAAAGAGGCTAAATGGGCTGTCAGACAATCCCTGCTCACACCTGGGATGCTGCACCTGGAGACAGCCTGGGGAGGGGCTGTGGGGGGACAGCGCTGTGTGAGACCAAGGGCACAGCCCACCCACCACAGGAGCCAGGGGATGCCGGGGTTAGGGCAAGGCAGGAGGGAGGAGAAGACACCAAACAGCTCAAGTTATAACCTCATATCAAAGACAACCTGATCCTCTCCTGCCATCCCGCTCCCACTCCAGCCCAGATTCTCTTTTTATTGTTTTTTTCATGTGTGTAACGCCGCCGTTCACATTGAATAAGTACCGTTGCCAAAGTGAACACAGAACCTAGAGTAGTGTTCAGCTCAGACTTCCTGGAGCTGTGAACATGCTATTAATTTAATATCATATTATTGTGATATTGTAATAGTAACAAGTATTTGTCACTACTTCCTTTTATTAAAGGGAAATTCTGTGCCATTTGACTAGTTGGAATACAATAGTATGTCAAGAATAGAGTTTTTTCTTTTGTTGTTTTTAATTATGCAGAAACATGGTGGCTTAAACCAATGCAGATTCTGTGTTGGTTTGAGATGGTTGAAGATGGATGTAAATCTTTAAAGACTTTTTTTTTAGATGTTTAGCTTTTCCTCTTTTTTGGGGTTTCTTTTCTGCTCTTATCAATTCCATTGGGACCAAACACAGACAGTTGTGGCAGCTCAGTCCCTGAAGGGATGAGGCTGAAGTCTGGTGATCCATGAGGACCCTAAATTATCTAAGTGCACCAAACTGGGCAAAAAACCCACTCAGAATTACATATTGGCTTTGTGCCTCTGGCTGCCACTAAGCTGGAAAAGCGACACGAAACAGCCCCACTCGCTGTACTGCAGTGCTTGAACGGGGCTGGAGGCAAAACTGTCCCAACCCAAAACTTGGAAAAACATCACCTAGCAAATGTCTGACCCTTAATCTGTGAAATGAGGAGGAAAAAAGAATTAAAACAAGAGTTTGTGTTTGCTTTCAGCATGGGGGACAGTCCGTCCTTCGTTCATCCAAAGTGCTGCCCTGGTTTTGAAGGAATCTGACAGAATTTCATTCTGTGTTCAGCGCACAGTTGTACCTGGGTAGTCACGTTGTATTTGGGTGCAGGTGGGACAGCAGGTCCCCGTGTGTGGCAGATGAGCTGTGCCACGGGAAAGGGGTCGAGGCATCATTTGATGTCCCCAGAGCAGAGGCTGAGGCAGCCAGACAGTCCCAGCGTGGTTCCCAGGGCCTTTCACCATCAGTGCCCACCTGCCAGCCAAGGGCAGCACTCCCTTCACACTCCTTTACACACCACAACATTTAAGGAACAGCTTGCCAGGTTTCTTATTCCTTTTTTTTTCCCTCCCAACTTTTTCCTGATGGGAGGAATCAGTTCTACCCAGAGATACAACCACTGGATGACAGGCAGGTGTTGGATCCAGTGCAAACTGCTGGAAACTGCCTGTGTTTGGGGTAGGAATCTGATCCTACAATATTTTTTAAATAATTACACTAATTCAACCTGTTGCCTTTTGTCAGCTGATCCCAAAAACCCTCTTATTTTCTGGCTGTGTGAGATGAAATTATAGGAAGGAATAAATATCCAAAAGCTGATTTTTTTTTTTTTATTTTATTTTTGGTAACCCATAATGGGCACAACCTATTCTTGAAGATCTCAAGTTAACCAGAGACGGCTGCTTCCTCAGGGATAGTATCCACATTATCTTTAGCTGAACAGGGAATAGTTTTATGCTGTGACAGGGTATTTTCACACTGTTGGATTCAGGTATTTATTTGTCTATCATTATCTTTCTTCTTCCTCGTTTTGTAAAGGGGCTGATACATTTAAGTGCTAGACCAGTTTGGGAATTTTAAATTATACCAAGGGACTGTAGGTTTTAAATTGGCGATAAGAGGAGAGAAGCTACGAAGTGTTGTTGCCTCTGGATAGTGAAGGGAAGAGTTTTGCTGCCTGTGGGGGTGTTCCTCTGGGATAACCATCCCATGGCATTTCAGGGGGGATCAGTGAGGTGTCTGAGCCCTCTCTGACAGCACTTAAGTCTGGGAAAATTGGTTAAAAAAAAGGAAATTAAAAGCTTATGAAAACAAAGGGGGGGAGCTCCTCACTTCATCTGTGCAAACAGCGTGTGGAAATCCATCCGTCCCCGTGCACCGGAGCAGGCAGGTTACAGATCCCATCGAGCAACTTGATGCCGGCTCATTTATTTCCCTCGCCCGCCAAATTACAAAAGGGAAAGGAAAAGGAAGGTGCCTGGGCTGGAGCTGTGGGCAGGGAGATGGGGAGCAGAGAAGCAGCAGCACCCCCAGGTGAAAGCGCTGCTGGCACAGGGCCATGGCACTGAAAGCCCTGGAACTCTGGGAATGAGGGAAAGGCTCCAGGCTCGCTCCAAGGGCAGAGCCTGGGCTTCGGCTTCGGCATCGCGTGGGCAGAAGGGACGGGGCCGGAGCGAAGCCCAGCGAGTCGGGGACAAACCTGATTTCACGGGGCTTTGGATCAGGGTCTGACTTAAAAAGCAAAGAGGGATTTGTACTCTGATCCTATTTCCATCATTTCAACTTGCAATATCTTTACGTTTGTAAGAAAGTCATAATAAAACCAATGCTAAACCTTTGTCCCAGTCCTTTTTGGGAGTCAGCTGTTAGCAGTAATACTAAAAACCCAAATTGCAAAGCACTTTTCTACTGTTTATTTTCTACCTTTCTTACTTTGAACTGTCGTGATATTGAAATCCCACTGATCCCACGATTGTTAGCTCTGTATTAAAAAAATAATAATAAAACCCAGGTTTTTTGTAGTTTGCTCTGTTTAGATTTTAGCCTGTGGCTACTTGTACAAGGAAAATAAAACTAGAATAAATGAGCCTGTGTGGGGTTTTTTCTTGTCATATGCAGGGCTGTGGTGTGGGGATTGTTCAGAGCAACTTGGGGCATCACCACTTCAGTGGTGATGAATCTGGGTCCTCTCAAAAAGCATCTTCCAAAATTTAGCATTTAAGAGCTGAGGGTTTTTTTATTTTGATGCTTTGCTCATAAACTCCAGCCAAGCCATCAGCAGAGTCCTTCTGGAGCATGGGGGCTCTTTGGGAGCTGGGTGAGATGAGACCTCCAGGGTCACAGTGTGACACCTGTGCTTAGAAGTGCAAAACAACTTCCAATTAATCTTGGCTCTTGCTCAGCTATTGCTGCAGCTGCTTTTCCCATTGCCTGCAGCGCTAGGTGAGGCTGGGGAGGCCCTGACACAACTGCCCAGAGAAGCTGTGGCTGCCCCATCCCTGAAATATCCAAGGCCAGGCTGGATGGGGCTTGGAGCACCCTGGGATAGAGGAAGTGTCCCTGCCCATGGCAGGAGGTGAGAACAGAATGATTATGAAGGTCCCTTCCAAGCCAGACCATTCTGGGATTCTAAGCTGCATCCTTGCCCCAAAATGTGCTGTGAGCCACGAGCCACCCTCCTGCCACTGTCCTGTGTGCTGCTGCTGCTGCTGCTGCCCTCGATGCCAAAGGACAGGCAAATAGAGGCTGTGGGGAATGAAGGAGAGAGAGTGAGCCCAGCAGCTCAATAAGCAGGCGAGTGAAAAGTTGCTTCAAACAACTCCCCAAAGCTCTCGGAAGAGCTAAATTGCAGCATGGATTGTCTAAATATCTACTTCATAATAAATACCAGCATAAAAAAAACCTGATTTTATTTCCCAGTGGCAACGCAAGAGGTGAAAAAAAAGATCAGAGTGGGCTCACTCAGGGGATTTTCATGTAAGTTCAGTGAAATCTGGTACTGCAGATAGCAGCTGCAGAGTCAAGGTATTGTACACAGCTTGTGGCTTTCATTAAAAAGGACTTTCCCTGCCTTCATGGCAATAAAAAAAAGGTTTGACAATATTAATCTGAAGTCTTAGAAACTAAGGAAATAAAAAACCCCAAGCAATACGTTTAAATCACTTTGATTTTGGGCTGTTGGAAATATTAAGAGCCTTCAAAAAAACCCTACTTGAGTGCTCAAAACTCATCTTTAGCAGAATCCATCTCCTTTTGACCACGTGCATTCAAATTTCTGCTGCAAATGTCTCAAATCAACTTTTCAACTACAGAAACACTAAAAAAAAATTAAGTTGGGTGTTTTCACTCCAAACACCACATTCCTGCCTCAGATTTCGCTGGAGATGTTACTGCTAATGTCCTAGTTATAACCCTGCCAACACAGGAGAATTTATAATATCCCATAAAGCCCTAACTATCAGAAAGGTCATTTTGGCATTAATACCACTCGGGCATCACCGCTCCATTTGCTGACACTTTTACAGAGCCACGCTTGATTCCAGCACGGCTGCTGTAAAACCTTTACAGCAATGGCCTAAGCCTCCAAATATCATCTTAAAAATCAAGAGCTGGAACATCTTCATCAGCAGGTGCAGGCAGCTTGGAAAGGGTCTGCTCTCTCTCAGTGTGGGGTTCCCAAAATCCAGGGTGAGCACCCAACCCCACTGCTCCAGGAGGGATTTATTCCTCAGCTCTTACCTCCAGCCCTGTTATTCCCAGCACCTTCAGACCCCACCAGTCCTCGCTGCCTTGGCTAAATTAAAAGTCTCCTAATTTCATGCAAAATTACCAACCCCTCGTCTTGCCCAGAAAGCCATTTCCTTAGCGCTAAAATAGCTAAATTAGTCTTGCTCGGCCTCGTAAAGGAGCTTGTCTTGTTTATTGAGCGATAAATATAAAGGTACAGTAACTAAATTCATCAGTCCCTAAACGCAGCCGTTGGGAATGGCCATTTCCACCATCCAATCTACAGCTGCATGAATATTTCAGAGTCCTTTTTCCCTTGGGTGCTCGCCTTATCTCTGGAGCCTGGATATTATTTTCTGCTTTTCAGCTTTTTGGATGTATTGGAGGAAATGTCATTATTTGGACCTGGGTGGATTACAGTTGACTTTCCTAAGCCAATTTATATTGGCAAGCTGCTGTTTTTAAAAACCCCTATAAATCACTCCCATGAATTTTAATAATATAACGTGGTTTCAAACATGCTCCCTTAATACGTGACACACTATTACAGCCAGCAATCGCTCCTCAGGTTGTGAACTCCGTTTTGCCGTCACCTTCAGCGAGCGCCGCGGGGGACGAGCGACGCCTCGGCCGCAATCATGGAAATTCCCACTCCTGCCCCAAATTCCTTGTCATTGCAGTGATTGCAACTTAACAGTGAGACCTCGGAGAGGCTGGCACAGAAATCATGGGGGACTATTTGCTGGTATTTCCTTAAATAAAGATACAAGATCCCCACCCAAAGTGCAGCCCCAGGCTGGGATTTGTGGCTCCAACTGGTCCATAACCTCCCACATGCCAGGAGACAAGGCTATGCCTCCTCATCACCTATGGGCTTATTCTGATGAGCTCTGTCCTCTTCTTGTGCAAATTATATTCATTTTCTTCCCGTTCCCATTGCAACAACTCCATGGTGTCTGCCAGCTCTCAAGGGGTGTCTGTCAGTGGAGAGTGGTCTCCTGGCCAGAAGAGAAAGGGCTAAGAGGGATAAGGAATAAAAGCCAGAGCAAAGGAGAGACCTTGGGAGACCTTTGCTAAGGAACATCCGGGATCATATGGAGGAACTGATGATGGAGTCTGGTGCCCCACTGGTGGCACTGGTGATGTCCCCACTGGAGAGCTGCTTGTTCACATTGCTCAGTGTTAGTTGCACAGAACCAAAACATAAGAATATTCCAACCCTGGAAATGTTCAAGCCCAGCTTGGAGCAGCCTGGTCTAGTGGAAGGTGTCCCTGCCCACAGCAGGGGGTTGGAACTGGATGGTCTATAAGGTCTCTTGCAACCCAAACTAGTCTGTGATTCTGTGAATATAATAAGAACATCTACAAGAAAAAGGATCTGTAAGGGTGGACTATTTGCAGGCAGGGAAAAAAATAATGAGCCAGTCTGCTTTTTGGCTTCCAAAAGCAGTGAGGGCTTCCCAGCACAGGATGCAGCAGGATGGGGGTAAAGGGGGTCCAAGGACCTCCTCAGACCTTGCCACTGCCTGCTCGGCTGCTGCCAGCACCACTGAGACCCAAAGCAATCCCTGGTTTAATATTCTTGGGAGAAAAAAATAAAAATCCCGTTTGTGCAGGGAGCAAACAGGCTTTTCAAAGGCTTTAGCTGTGATGATTTCCCCTGAAATGTTGTCACGTTCATCATTAATCTATTTTTTCCCTTTTCTGTAACTTAACCTGCGACAAGCCGACATTGTAAGTGCTTGATTTTCCAAGAATAAATTACAGTTTCATAAATGGTATTTTGCTTCACTGCTCAATTTGCAAGTGAAATGATGCCAATTGCTTTGTTCACAGGATTTTATCTAGCACAAACAATACCATCCTCGAGATTTATTTATTTTTTAACCCTCAAGTTATTTTCGGAGCCTATATAACAGAATACATGGAAAAGTACACGACAGCCCATATGTTTGGGCATTATCGACTAACCATGAGCAGATACAAGGGCCCACGTGCCTATAAAACATCGATCCAGGAATGAGATGTCACACACAGAGTGAGACACTGCCCAAAGAGAAAATAATCCCTTAGATCAAAAATATTTACAGTTGCCCCATGCTGGGCTAGAGTGCCCTGAGTGACTTTTTATATGCATTATTTATGATTTGGGCCTGGGAAATCAGCACGCCCCAGCTTCTCCCAGGGACCACCACGTTGCCTCATGGACCAACACATCCCCAGTGGGGTCTCCAGAACATGGAGTATCTCAGTTCTGTTGAAAATATGGGTTCACAACAGCTTAATTTTTTTTTCTTATATGATAAAATTATGAGAAATAGGAATAAAATGCAAGCACCTTGGAGCTATTTATGTTTTTTAAATGCAGAGGAATTCTCCCTGCTGGGGATGCCAGCTCTGCCCAGGGACAGCCAAGCCACACAAGCTGGGACATGTCAGCATTAAACCCAGTAAAGCCTTTCATCAAGGGAAGGAGAAGAGAGAAAAAACCCCTGCATGGGAAATATTAATGTTGCAAGATTTGTTTAACAGCCATGGCTTCTGCTAGGACTTTTTTAATCTGTGTATTTAGGGGAGACCTTTGTAGAAAAGCCTTCATTTGGAAAAATTTGGTATAAGACAAAAAATGAATTGAAATAGTTGCATTAGGGATGGAAACCGGGTGTTTGAGGTGTTTATGCTCACTAAAAAAATGGGATGAATTTGTGGAGAGCCTGGATCTTCACCCTTTAACAGATCCACCCCACTGGAGCTGGCTGGCTCCTGGTTTTCCCGCAGTTGATAAATCATTTAACTAACACCACAGAACTCTGAATCTGCAGGTGATGTGGGCAGTAGAGGCAGAGTTTGCATTTCTAACAGAGAAACTGAGGCACAGAGAGAATATTTGTCTTCCCCTTCAGATACGAAAATGTGTTTGTTTTCATCCCTCCTCTGCTTCTCACCCCACTTCTCTCATCCCCCTGGATGAGACACTGGGAAAAGTTTTTGTTATTTCCTTGCAAATGGATGCTTCAAGACAGACCCAGACCTTCAGAGGCTTTGGCACTGAACAACGATGAATTTCTGGTAACAAACCACATCACAAAACAGAATTGTCACCTTTTGGGCCACCCCAAGAGGCAACATGGAAATCCCAGTGAAATGAAACATTCTCAGCCAGAGAATGTGTGTCCCAGTGTCCCTGTTGAGGCCATCATTAGGTTGTTACAACATGGAAAACCAAAATAAAACTGAGTTTAAAAGAAGTGAGGGCTTGCCCACTGCAGGTACGGTGTGAACGTGTCCCTCCACGGCTCCCCCACACACAGAGCTGCCGGCCATGCGCTGCGGGCTCCGGGGCTGGGCTGCTAATGGCTT